ACATGAAGTGAACACAGTGTAAACAGGTAAATCGGTGCCTGTTAATAATAGAAACATTATTAATCCACATGGGGAAATTCTTTTAGTGCCTTCCTCAAGCTGCTCTCTCCAGGTGTGAGTGAACTAGCCACAAAAGGCAGCCATCTGTTACAGCACCCAGGGAGCTGGGGGTTAAGTGCTTTGCTCATGGTCCCAACTTCAGGACCAGACTTGAACCAGCAACCTTCCTATTACAGGCAGAGAGGCTTAGCAAGCAAGTCTACTGAAAAAGAAAATATTGAATTGTTATAGAAATATTGTTACAAAAAGGGGCCCCACACCCCCACACCCCCACACCCCCTGGGTGCCACTACAGGTGGCTGCTCTTCATGGACAACTTACTCCACAAAGAGCAAGTTAGGGAGATTTATAAAGTATCAAATGTCTGTGGGGTGATGCTGGCACAGGAGGTAGTGCTACTGTTCAGCAACCAGAAGGTTGTGGGTTTGAGCCCCAGTTCCTCCTGATCCCATCAAAGTGAACAAGACACTGAACCCCAAATTGCTCCTGATGAACAGGTTAGCACCTTGCATCGCAGCCTCTGCCACTAATGGGTGAATGTGAGATGAAAATTAATTTAGGCTGTGATTGTAGCCTAATTTAATCAAGCATTTAGCCTTTCGGGGCTGCTGTCAAGACGGGGACCTGAGGTATGAGGAGAGGGTTTCACAGACAGAAGGACAGACAGCGTGCAGTGAGATGTATGCAGATTCAGTGAAGCACAAACTCTTTATGTGTGACGTCACTGCACAGATCTGCTCATCGGTTTGCTCTGTGGCCCCTGTGAGGCCGGGTTGGGCATTTCCGGGTTGGACTCGCACAGGCGAACTGGCGGGACAACTGTTTGGCAGGAACACCAACCTGCTGGTCAGCTGAGAATGTGGAAGCCAGAGCTGATAAAACCGCCCCAGCTGTTTGGGGGCCCAGATGAGGGCATGCCTGAGATATCCGGGCCCCAGGGCCTCATCTGGGGGTCCAAATAGGGGAACGTCTGAGATAACTGGGCCTCAGGGCCTCATTTGGGGGCAAAGAGCCATCGGAGTAGAGAAAAAAGATGAGAGGGGCTCCCATTCCCTGGCATGAGCAGGTCGCCGCCCTGCAGGACAAACGACCAGAGTCTCCACTGTGGCATTAAGTTACTCAGATTTCAGGCCATGGTTCCACCCAAAGGCAGGGGTACACTGGGCTACTGTGTGAGCCCAGATCAGCCCAGCATGTCACTGAGCACAAGAGGAAAAAAATCAAGTTTGCTTGTGAAATCAGAATCAACTTTTTCAGACTCTTTGTAGTATTGTGCTAGTATTTTGGTTTGTGGAGGATGAAATGAGGGACTGCAGAGTCCATTGTCAGGCTAAAGGTGGAGCAGTGTTGGGGGGGGGGGATTCACTGATGATTTATTGAAGAGTGGATCTTCAGAAAACACTGTTCCAGAGATGAGCAGAAAGTCTGACTAAACCACACCACAGGACCAAATGCTGCCCCAAAATGATTTCTTAGCATTTACATTCATTATTACACGCGTCCTCAGAATAGTGTAAATATGAAGTACATATATGCAGATTTCTACATGTCTGAGGTTGGATCCTTAAAAGCAGCATGTTTGCTTTGTACTACAAACATGTGGTTTAGCCCGTAACTGCAGGGGATATTCAGCGGTGCCAGAAGGTCAGGTGACTGACAGGAAACAGCTAAATGTTGTGCTGAAAGGTGACCTTCCTCCGCCTGTCCCTCTCAGCGCCTGCCCTGGGTTATACCTCCGTCTGAGACTTTCGGGTTGGGCTCCACTGGACCTTGGGATACTTTTGTTTTCCCGACCCACTGAAAAAAATCTGTCCACGGCCGTCTCTTCGGAGCAGGCGAGAAAATCTGCAATCTGTGTTTGCAAGCCATGAGCAGGCCGGCCCTATGCTCACCCGCGGTTTGTGTGAAGCGGAATCGCGCTTTTATCTTCCTGTTTACAACTTGTCATCTGTGGATTTCGGTTCTCTTGCATCAACCTTCATGCAAAAGCCTCTCAGAGGAATCATGGGGACAAAATGCCCATTATCAAGATGAACGGGAAGATGCATTTATGTGAATCAAACACCCCACGCTCCCCTTGGTGGTTACCATGGTGACGAGGCCGGGTTCCCACATAAGTGCTGCTTGGGGGCCGCGATGTTTCACAGATGGCCTGGCAGACTGGGCGTCTGAGGATGCTCTCAAAACACACCCTGAGCTCCGGTCCTTTCGTTGCGTCCACATCGACGTCTAAACTCCTTCCTTCACACCAGAACCATCTTTTAAACAAACTAGTGACAGCATGATAGACACTAAGAAGCAGAACGTTTCTAACTTGCTCTCAATGCTTTTCACTTCACTTTCTGTTGCTGGTTTAATTTCATCCATTTATTTCTGCTCGTCACCTAATTTTACTGCCGATCTTCTATGAGGAACTGAATCCGGCTGAGGAACGGTCCAAAAGTCTCTAGCAACAAATTATATAATCCAAAGGCCTAATCATCCAAGAAAAGGACGTTCTGCGGCTGGGTCAGGGCAGCGGCCTGCAATTTATGGTGAGAGGAATTTCACAAAATTGTTACATGTGACAAACAGAAATAGTTTTGGGACGCGGGCTCCACAAATAGCGCCGTCCCAGCTGCAGGAACGCCATGAGCCCCCCCCCCCCCCCCAGCAAAGACCCTGGCTGGCTGATGGCTCCGTCTGCACCTTTGCAGAAGTCCTCCGCTGCTCTTCATAGGCCGCAAAATCGACAAGCGAGGATCCTAAACTGTTCTATTGAAGTTGCCCCAGTCGGGGTTTTATGTCACACGGAAGCGGCTGCTTGGGAACTCGGTCGTGGCTGTGATGCGTGCAGGTAAATCGCCTGACATTTCAGCATGTTAGTGAGGTTACAGCAGCGTTTCGCGATCCGCTCCTCGGGGACCCACAGACGGTCCATGTTTTTGCTCCTTCCGAGCTCCCTGCCAGACAGCCCACATTAAAGGAGCAAAAATGTGCACTGTCTGCAGGTCCCTGAGGAGCGGATCGCGAAACACTGATTAGTATTAGTATAGCATTAGTTCAATACAGTAGATAAACAGAATCTGGACACATTCAGCCTAACGGATCAGGGCTTAACAAGTGCAGCAGAGAAACTGCAGTGTCGCTGGCAACTGTCCGAGTCCAGATCCATCAATCCACCTATGGGCCTCTTCTGCTCGTAAAGGATAGAGCTACGGTCAAATCCCAAATCATCAAATCAAATGACTTTATTTGGCACTTTTGTGCAAAATCCCACAACAGCAGCAATAAGGCAGTGCAGTTATTTCTCCACGGGGATCAATGCAGTATCAATTATTATTATCAATTAAAACAGAACAAGACTGCAGCACAATATTTCTATGGGAAATGGTAATAAGCCGCATTGTACTAACAAATGCTGTACAGATTTGTTGTGTTTTGGGGCAGTGTGTGACTTGGTTAGGATGCTGTGTCTGTGAGTACAGGTTACTGGTTCAAATCCCAGTAGTGGCAGAGTGATTTCACCTGGGGGGCCTCGAGCAAGGCCCTTAACCCCCTGGCTGACCCACGTGCACATCACTTTAAATAAAATACCCTGCCTGACGATACTGGTGCCAAACTGGTGGTTTATGATCAGGTTTGATAATCCCACATACCAAAAAATCTGATATGCCAAGATGGTTATGAAGTTTATAGTAGATTACAAATATATATATATGTTAGACGTATTGTTTTATTTGATGCCTTGAGCTCGCTCTTATCTCACAAATTACTTTAACACTAACGAAGCCGTGAAGTTTACGCCGGCACGCGCTCTAATTTATTAAACACAAGGGGGCGCCGTCGTACTGTTTCAACATACTACGCATGGCGCGCGCTATTTATATCTAAACCGTTTGTGCCAGATGCATCCGCTGGGGAAGCCCATCGCTCTTAGCGGAATCATATTTGTAAATAATCTTACTTTAAGAATGATATTCTGGGAGATCTAATATTGTACGCCTTCTTACCACATGAACACATATCAAACTGAGCAAGCTGGTAAAGTTAACACAAACTGTAATATCGACTCATTTAAAATAAATGAAACTGAGTGGATATTTTAGTATTATTCATTAACTGAGTGTAAGTTAAGCCGTCTAGTTTCATTCTTAATGTTGGAGGAGAAGATCAGACATTATGCATTATGCTCTTGCAAAGCCCCACGAAAGGGATTCGATCTCTACGATATGACGCGCGTGCGCGCGCGCTGTCACTTGGGCGCGTGAGGAAAGCCCCATTGCTCACGCTCGCGTGCCAAACACACACTGTATGCCCGTGTACTATATACCGTTATACTGGTGCAACAGGGTGATTAATCGGAGCCCACGATGGTCAGATTATTGCTTTCAAATTAAACCTGACGCCATATAAAGATCATTCCAATTCGTTCAACAAAAGCCACTTAAAACATATCGCTAGTATCGTTTTATCTTTATTTATAACTTGAAGTCTTCAGGCTTGACACGAACTTAAGAATTACACCTCCGTTTTTAGTGTCATTAACAGTTCAGAAGTCTGAAAATTAAAATACCATAAAAGATGAACGATGACGCATATTGTTTAATAGACTTTTATGGCTAACATATGCTGGGGGAGGGGCGAATAAAAATAAATATGCTTCCTGTGTTGGAACTTCTCCGATTTAACCCAAAGTTGACTAAAGGGGCGTTTCGTATAGAGGTTACGTCGCTCTCTTACAGGACATGATCACTTTATATTAGACACTCGTTTTGGGACAAGGTCTGATCTGTTTTAAACTTGATATTCAAATGAGGCAGATGCGAGGCATATATACATATATCGTTTGTCATGTTTGGGGTGTAATTTTTAAGTTGCTCATAAGCTGCGTCTTATTCGCATTCATCCCGTAAGTCAGAAGGGAGGAAACAAAAGCGGAGAATGGGAGTGAGAGGAGGGCGTGTCGGGGAGCTTCCCCGTCCTCGGAGGCGCCTCCTGCCGCCTTGGCTCCTCCCCAGACACCGACCTTCATAAACATTCACCGCCAAGTGTGATAGCAGAGAGGCGGACGGCGAGTCCGGTGGTGCTGCGGCTTTTAATCTCCCGGCTGGATCCATTTCAGGGCCGCACGCCTTTCCTTCCTCTGCCGCTGGAAAGGAGTTTGGTGCAAAGCAGGATTTTCCTTATTTCCGTAAAAACTACGGCAAAGACAAACGGCGGAAAATGTCTGCGACGATCCTGCCCATGTTACGCGACATTGACTTTCTGCTTACGGTGAGTAGTGCCTTGGAAATGCGGGGACGGCAGATGGAGCGTAAGTTTTCTGCGGGACTTTAAAAAGAAAACAAAGTGACCCCCAGAGTAAGACTCCATCCAGTGAGGGGGCGAGGTTGACATTTTCCCCAAAGACGCCAATGAGTTAGTGATCCATGCTTAAAGTTTGGGGGCGGTGTAAAGATGGGGGGGAGCTAAAATCACGGCTTAATTTGTTTGTCTTGTTTCTTTTAGCAAGAAAAACGACTGAATGTGGCCAAGATGCCTCTGGGTCTGGCTGACAGGAAGGCGGTGGGGGTTCCGCTCAGCGGCTCCAGCTGCACCAACCGCTGCTACTCCCGCAGCCAGTCGAGCAGCGGCAGCTTCGCCGGTTGTCCGGGCTTCTCGTTCGCCGAGGAGCCGCTGGCCGTCATGAACAAGGAGAACGCCTTCCTCCTGCAGGAGGTGCTGCAGCAGCGGGCCGGCGCGCAGGCCAACTCGGCCCGGTACAAGACGGAGCTGTGCCGGCCCTTCGAAGAGAACGGCGTGTGCAAGTACGGCGACAAGTGCCAGTTCGCTCACGGCTACGGCGAGCTGCGCAACCTGTCCCGGCACCCCAAGTACAAGACGGAGCCGTGCCGCACCTTCCACACCATTGGCTACTGCCCTTACGGACCGCGCTGCCACTTCATCCACAACGCTGACGAGCGCCGGCTGCCCTCCCAGGGGGAGACTGCGGCGCCCCGGGAGCGCTGTGCTTTCGGTCCCGGGGAAGCGGGCGAGCGGGACCGGCCGGCTCTGTACCACAGCGTCAGCTTCGCCGGCTTCTCCGGCCGTGGGAGCCCGGTGTCCCGCATGCCGCCGCCGCCCTCTTCCTGCCCCTTCAGCCTGTACGAGGACGGGCTGCCCCCCGGCCTCTCCTTCCCCGGACGGTCCCTCGAAGCGCTGCTCGCCCCCCTGCGTTCCGGCTACAACGATCCGTCCTCCGACTGTTTCTTCGGCACCCAGCTGAGCCCCCCGTCTCCCCCATACCCGAGCCGGCGCCGCAGGTCCCCGTCGCCGGTCTTCGAGCGCGCACACAGCCCTTCCGACTCCATCTCCGACCGGGACAGCTACACCAGCGGCTCCGACTCCCCGAGCCCGGAGGCGGGGAAACGCCTGCCCATCTTCAGCCGCCTGTCCATCTCCGACGACTGAGAAGCAGCCGGAGGGGGTCCGATCGACACGTGCATTATTATAGGACTTTATAATGTGACGTTGCGTTATTTAATGTCACCTTGGAGGCATTCCCTGTGCGTAAAATCACGGTTTTCCACACCTGCTGCGCCGCACCTTGATGAAAAACTGAAACTAAAGACTGTGGTCCTTTGAGAGCCCGAAGCGGCGCTCGCCTTCCGGGGCCGCGAGGTCGCTCTGTGCCAAAGCCGGCGGTGTGCAGTGATGCGGGCGGCGTTCGCCGGCTGCCGGCGCGCACCGCCGTGTACGCCATAAGCACTCTGCTTCGGGAGTTGCTGCAGATCTTTTTTAGCTGTTTGTAACATAGCATCCAGCAACTTGCTATGAATTATTTAACTTATTTATTATCTTGAACAGTATAGGCTACGTTATTTTTTGCTATATTTATCGATGGATGAAGCCAAAGATCATTAAATTATGGCCTTTCTTGTGCATAAAGTGGAGCGTCGTTACAGTAATATATTCTGCTTTACTTTTGATGTGGTTAAAGAGATAATTTAATATTTATTTCGTTTTTGTTTACATTTCTATATTTTTTTTTTTTGTGTGTTTAGGTCTCATTGTAGCAATATTAAGAATATATTAAGAATTCTTAATACGTGTCCGCAAGTCGTCCAAAAGTGATATGTTGAGGATTTATATCTTTTTTTTTTTAATCGTTAAAGTGATAATCCAGGACGGATCCCTGTGACAGCAGTATTTCACGCAGGATCGCACTGTGACGCCGCCAGCGAATGTAGCAGCCCGGCTCGTGCCTTAAGACTAACCGAAGTCTGTCTGTTTCATACACGCGCCTTTCCCCTCCCCTGAATGTAACGTTGGGTTTGTATTGAATACACGATATTTTGACGCCTTTCGGCCTTTTTGTAACTTTCCTAAATGCTTTTTTTTATCACTTGCCACAAGTGTACTGGATAAGATTGGATTTAATGCTTAAGTGTACGTATGATTATTATCTTTTTTTTTTGGAATGTATCTTGGGGGGGCGGGGGGTTGATGGTTTATTATGCAGGGAGACTTCACTACAAATTGACCAAAAGACATTTTTTTCCCTCTGTTTCTCCCAATAAAAACTTTGTCCACATGCTCCTGTGTTTCCCGTGAGGCATTCAGTGGGACTGCCGGGTTTGTTCCTGATTACCTTCTTCTCCTGAGCTCTCATTTTCTCAGCTTTCTGACCCTGTCTTCCTTTTGTCTGATTCCATCCTCTCTAACGACCCTCTTATCAGCTGCTTCCTTTCCCCTGTCGGCTAGTTATGACGATTAAAGCTGCTTGTTACCCCCTGCATGTTGGGATCGGCTGCCTGCTGTAACTCTGGTGCAGCGGTCACTCTGAGTGGAAGTTGACCTTTGCAACTGTGTCCTCCAGATCTTCATCTCCCACCTATTCCATAAGCTCTCCATTGTCACTTTAGCAGCTCTGTAGTTAACCTGCCCAGAAGTTTCCATCTGCTGTGGAATCTGTTCTCCACTGTTCTCCACCCTTCTGCTGTTGTATTCCCATAGAGCCGCGTTGGCCCACCTTGCTGTTGCCAGAGAGAATGGCTGCCCCCCTCATGTCAGTGTGTATGTCTGACGTATTTAAGCACAGCATTTGCTCAGGACATCAAAACATCCATAAGAGTTATTTTACCCAAAGAGAAACACATGTTCTGTAGCTAAAAACACAGCAGCAGACAAAAGAGGATTTGAACCCCACGGAAAAAGTGCATGAGGCCAGGAAGTACTCCCCCCTTCCTCTTCCTCCTACACTTCCCTCCTGTCCACCCTAATCAGAGAGTTGCACTTTTAGCTAATGCCCGGCCATATACCCATATGCACACACACACTGCTCGTTCCCCTTGTGAAAAGTCCCATGGTGTACCACGGTATGCACCACGGGCATCTGGATCACTCTGGGCACAGATACGGTAACTTTTCTTCATACCCTGGAACTTCCTCAGTTGAGCTGAAGAAGACGCCGGTCAAACTGGGACCCTGACAGTAGCCCCGCCCCATGACCAGAGTGCTGCCATCCCATTGGTCCTGCAAACAAGGCAGTGGTCAAGTTTCTAGAGAAGGAAACGGCTTTGCAGGAAGTGCCACATGTCAGCCTGACACTTCTGTACGTGGGAGCTGCCTGGGCTGCGCAGAAATGAGGATCTGCTGGCGTTTACCTCAGAATTGCTAAATACGGTTTCATAGCCCGTCTGGTGTTTGCGCAAGATGGATGATTCCAGCCTTGACCCTGGAGTGTGGTGGGTGGGGTCCAGCTACTGGGGGACGACTGGCACGGAGAAAATGATCTGAATCCCTGAAGATCACAGACCTCCTGAGCCTAGACCCATCTTTAATAATAACCGGAATGTTCCGGTAATTACCAGATGCTTAACACTGAAGTGTTTTTTTTATGGACTGCTTATCACTCAGAGTGAGCCGGCAAAGGAACAAACAGCAGGCAAACTTTATAAGGTTTTATTGACTCTGATATCAGGGCTGGCGCCCCTCCCATCGGGATCCCCCCCCCCCGTTTACATGCAGTTTATGTCCAGTGCGCTGCTGTACATGTGCTTCAGCTGGATGTTAGTTAGAGAACAAGCTGTACTGCTGGCCGGGAAACCTGCAGCCCTGCATGCCAGGAAGATCAGATGTGATGCTTTTAACACCTTTCACTCCGCACACCCCCGGCCTGGGGGTTCGAATCCCACAGTTTGGCTAACAGCCTCCCTAAAGTCTCCTTAGTGGTAAATTGTGTGTTGGGTGAATCCCTGCAAAGAGTCCTGTCTGGGGTACACCCCCCCACCGTGACCCTGACCAGGGAAAGCTGTTACAAAATGGATGGATGGATGGATGGATGGGTGGGTCTGTGTTTTACAGTGACAGTACATAATGTGAGGCCAGAGGTCTTACGCAGAGTGAAATCACAGCCTGTCGCTTACTGGAGGTATGCTGTGAAATTGGAGCTCCTGTGGACTGTTCCATGACGTAGCTGACGGGGGCACCCAAGGGCGGCGCCCTGATCTGTCAGCAGTGACACGCTGCTTCCCGCTCCCCCCCACGCCCCCTACCTCATGCTCAGGCCCGTGACTCAGCTGAGGGGCGTGACACTCGGCTGACAGGTAAACACTGCATGTGAGCATGTGCCAGAACCTGTGTCACCTGGGAGACCCCCCCTCCCCCCCGTTCTCCATAACCCTGCTGTCACGCCTCCTCCTTATCTCTCTCTCACTCTCTCCACCCATATTTCTCCCATAATTCCCCACCTTTCCCTCCTCCTGAATGACTTAACTTTGACGCAACACGATCACCTTGGCAGCTAAACCTAAACCTCTTTAAGTCATTCATTAATTGACAAGTTCGGACAAACCCCCTAAATCCGCGGCCCTCAGGCTCACTGCAGGCTGCACCTTCATGTATTAGTTTGCATGTTGTTGTGTTTTGTGCGCCATAACATTTAGCTGCTGTTGTTTCCGTCTCTTTACTGGCTACTGATTACCTAACAGGCCGCTTCCCCCAAGCATGACGACTGCACACGTCAGCACGCTGCCCGCAGCATCAGAACCGCCCCACTCATTTACCTTATATGACCAGGATCCAGTTTCCACATTACTTAACTGGAAATGGACCCTAGTCGGAACTTTCCAGAAGTCACCTGCCCGGCTTTGCTGTCTTCTTTGTTAGTAGGGTGACATCGGAGCATCTATGGTGCAGAGCAGTCACTGCCCCTCCAGCGTACCCCACCGCCCCTCCAGTGTACCCCACCGCCCCTCCAGTGTACTCCGCCAAGCCTCCGCACCCCCACTTCTCGCCCCCCCGCCCCTTTCACACTCTCTCTGCTCCACCTCAGTGTCTTGTTTCTAGAGGGCCTTTGGGTGTCTGAGCATGTGTCTTTGCACGTCTGTGTGTTTGTGTGAATATGCATGGTTTGGGGCCCTCGTCCCACCACAGCGGGTCACACAATCTGTGACAGCTTGGCAAAGAGTGAGCATGTGTAAATAAACCAAGAAAAATGCCAGGAATCACAGACACACAGACAGAAAGAGAGAGACACACACAGATACACATACATACAACACACACAGACTGACATACCAACACAGACAGACACACAGACAGACAGACACATACCAACACACAGACACGTAAACCAGCAATTTTTAAAATATATTGTTGTGCGATTCTGGGCAGAGTGTGGAGTTTGTACTTCCCGAAACATAGCTGGTCTCTGGGCTGTGTGTTTCTATTGAGGGGTTTTAAATATATTTTTTTTCAGTTCCTCTTTCATAGGGGGGGGTGGGCAGTTCCTCATACAGACATATATGGCGGGAAGCTGCCACAGTCACATGCTCCAGTCACTGCACCGTTCATGGTGCACTCTCCCTTTTCTGGGATCCAGAAACAGAGACAGCAAATAAAACAAAGATAAGACATAGAGCATGCCCCCAACCCCCCCAGCCAAGCAAACACACCCTCACATGCTTGAGAAGCAGCACTCAAGCCAAAACAAATAACAGACACCAGGAGTGTCCCCCGTTTGAGACAGTGCCCCCCCCCCAGACTCCCTTCCTCCACAAGCGCGCATATTCGGGGGCCCGGCTGTGGGGCTTTGCACACTCTGCTCCACAAAGACGCAGCGTTAGCGTGTGACGTCACATGGCATCACCACACCAACGGCTGCTTAGGGATAGTCCATCTTCATGGCCGCCGTCACAAAGCAGTCGAGCCTGTTGCTAAAAGTGCCGAATGTTATTGGGTTTGTACAGAAGTGACTGCTGGGACTGTAATTGCGACTTCGACGCCTCACGTGCAGAAGACGGACAGGGGGAGGCAGGGAAACAGAGGAAGCATTCAAACAAAAACCAGAAAGATTGCGGTCATATGACCCGGTTCAGACTGATTCAGGTGTGTGTCGGAATCACAGTTCAAACGGCGCATAAATAATGGAATTTCTTTTGGATGCAATTCCAAAACTTGGCCTTTGTAAACATTTCATAATTGCCATAAACGTAAACGTTGCATGTGATGCAAGTCATTTTGACGCGTGACCTATTTAAACAAAGTCAAAGCGGGCGTCTGCTCTGTGACCGAAGATTGGCACTGAGATTTCAGCCCAACTTAGCAAACGGAACCTCATTCCGGGAAGAAGGGGGTTACATCACAGCTGCCCATTCTTGCTTCACTTTGACCAGCAAAGGGCCATATTGTGAGGTTGAGGTAGGAAAAAACAGCCAGCGGCCTTTGGGTTGAGGTGACGTGTGCATGGATTCTCCATCCTCCGGCAGCGTGGGTGGGGCCTGCTCATCACCACACACACTGACCTGTTGATCTTGGAATACTGTGCTGCGACCTCCCCCATGTGCCTCCGCGGGAGCCTCTATGTCCACCTCTGAGCTGTGCTGCGACCTCCCCCATGTGCCTCCGCGGGAGCGTCTATGTCGTATCTTGCCTCCTTTAGGGAATTTCCCAGGTGACATTTTTGTATCATCAAAACTCGCAGCTCCTGTATTATTATGCGTTCCCTCAGTCTGAGCTGTGTACTGTAGGAATAGAAAAACGGAAGTGCATTGCCACACATTCACCCAGCGGGGCACAACGTATGACCGACTCCCCTCTGCTCTCTGGGTGTCGTCCCTGTTTGGGTTTCTCACAGCTTTTGCCGCTCGGTTATTGCTGATCACTATCTAGGGGCTGAGTCTGCCCCTTCCTAACTGTTATGGCTCCCTGGCCTGGGGTGCAGTGTCTATCTCGCGCATGCGTCACTTGCTGCAAAAGCAGCTTATCAATAAATAAATGTAAGTATAAGCTATTGATTCACCGGTCGATCTATGTTCCTTCCCTCTCTTGTCTATACAAGCTTTGGGTAAGGACTGAAAGAAAGAAATCACAGATCGAAGCGGCAGAAATGAGTTTCCTCTGCAGGGTGTCTGGGCTCAGCCTTAGACACAGGGTGAGGAGCCGCTGCTCCTCCGCATCAAAAGGAGCCAGGTGAGGTGGCTCCAGCGTCTATCTAGGACGCCTCCTGGACGGCTCCCTGGGGAGGTCCAGCCGGGAGGAGGCCCCGGGGCAGACCCAGGACACGCTGGAGAGATCATACCTCTCGGCTGGCCTG